GGAAAATAATGAGTTTTAGCAAGAAAAATCAGGTAATTAATGTCAAAAACAATATTTCAGAAAATTCCCTGAGACGAAAAAACTACCGAGAACTCTTAAATTTCATTCAAATTGAGTTCGGACTATGAGATCATTACTGATTTTACAACTTGGTAGAAAAAAAAGTAAATATTATTGCGCTGAACTCAATACCGGCTGATAGAGTGACAGAATTTATCAGCTGGAATTTAAGCATTTTATAAGATTCTACTGTTGATTTTTTGTCCTTCGGATATTTATGATATAATAAACAATTGGTGGAAGTGACCAACCGGGCCCAGGCAGTTCCATGGCATCTTGTTAATAAAGATGGATTCATTCGTATGGTTTTTGCAATCACTGTCGTTTATATTCCATAATTCCAAAATAATGGAAATGACTCGCAGCAAACAATTGAATCCTGGAAAAACCGTCTCGGGACAGATGCATTCACGAAATACTCCCGAAAGAAGGTGTTATTTATCTCTGGAAGGAAACAATAAGATGTCGAGAAGGGGATCAAAAATTAGCAACAAACACTCCACAACATTTACTCTTCCAATTTCACAACTTACCTGTAATCACCGCAGCCAAGAGCAGTAAAGCCAAAATACCATACCGTATCCTTAATTTGCTGTTTGCAAGTATAGCATAAAGTACGGGAAAATTGGCAATGAGAAGTAAAATGCCCACGGCCAAGCAGAGAATACTTATAATTATTGTATGGACCTGCACATGGCTATCCATGAAATCTGAAAATTTCACACTTTCAAATAGATTGCTTATATTTCACAACAAATCTTTCCATCCTCACATACTACCATATACTGTGTACCGTACACCGCCACTTCCTGTGATATCGCCATTACATGCACAAGAATCACAATAAACGGTAACTTTGGCATAACATGCGGTGGTGAGGACTGTACGACGCAAGTGGTGACAATGAATGCGTGAAAGAGTCTTTGGAGCAAAACAGTTTTGTTGAATCTATCATAGTACTGTTGAATGAAAGTTCATTTCTCAATAGGCTGAAAGCTGAAAGGAACTCATTTACAACTTTATGCCAGCCAATTTGCAATTTCGAATTTCTGATAGAACTGCAAGTCTCGACTTTGATGGCCTTCTTGATCACTGCAGAAAGCAGTAGTTGACGGAAGTTAAACTAAACAAAAATACTTTATTTGTGTTTTGGAACGAATTGGATGTGAATATCTCAAACGATTGAATTAGCATTGCTAGCGGCATTTCCCTCTCAAATTATTGATGTGTAAAATACAAATATCCGCACTGCTGGACTCCATTTATTTTGCTTGAACGAATCGAATTTGCAGCGAATACCAACAGATAATCAGTTCTCTCAAAGACGACAACTGCGCTTGAGTTGATCGTCGACAAGTTAAGCATTGTTCAATGGGACAAAGATGATAAAGGCTTAAAAGAACAAAGATTCGGTGGAAATCCATGTCCTCATTCTGTCTTACTTTCGGCGTCTGAGCCTTTTTGGAATCGCCAACATCCCCCTGAAAAGACATATAAAAAATTAAAAAGAACGAAGGCTTACAGACTGAAAACAACGAATATAATCCGATTTCTCCTATCCTTTCGAGGCTGTGTCACACTCACTTCCGCTATTTCGCCATCTGAGCCGCATCTAATAAAAAGGATTTACAAAATTAAAAGCAAAAATTCAGAAATAAATATTGATTGCTTCATTATTTGCTTTTCTTATAATAAGTTAGAAAAACATCTGTCTTCTCGGAGGAATCAAAAAACACCTGCTTTTTCTAAGATGAAAATAAGCCTAACACATTATACATTAACAGAAAAGCTCAATAATCGACCAGAAGACAATGTTGAAGCAGTTTGCATGACAGAAGATGGCTTGGAGAATCTTCAGGAAATTAACAAGAAATAGATAATCAGAATTTTAAAAAATGAAAAGAAAGAAATTTATTCCGGCGAAAATTCAATTGATCATATTCACATGGAAAAACGAATGATACCACAAATACAATAAGTCGACCTGTAAAAGATTTTCTGTTTCATCCTCCTAATAGTTGTGTTGTTCAATCGAATGATTTATGCCATTCAAAATAGAAGATTTAACAAAATCAAAGTTCTGATAATTAAGAAATTTTCAATCTTGAACCAGCCAAGAGAGAAGTATTGCTAAAAAATTGTAATTTAATAATTCATGGGATATGATATTCTCTTAGGTTTTCATACAAATTTGAAAATTGCCACTGTCTCTACAATAGTAACAATAGTAGTAATAATAAAATCGTAGAAATCGTTCGGAAATTATTTGTCATTCCATGGAAATAAAGGTTACCTCCACACATTTACTACTTGTAAATTGCATTAAAAAAAAGAAAGCAATTAGTAATGGATATGAGGAAATGAAACAGATCAGAAACTTTTTTTAAATTATATTTTAAAGTAATAATTAAAAGTAAAGGAAAACAAGTTTTATAAGGAAAATCTGAAATGATATCCGGTTTAGTTCAAAGCATTTTAGCAGCAATTTACGCCAAGCCTATTTCAGATGCTATAATTTCCTATTCAGCATTGGTATTATTGATTTTTAAATCATCTGTACGACGTACAGCGAAATTATTCGAATAGAGTTTGTAGATTACTCACGATTTACACTCGTTTTTTCGTTCTATTTACCTGTGCTTAATTTTGATATGAATTACTCGTTAAATTAAATCTATTCGATAATATGAAGCTGTATAAAAAATCAAGAATTTTCTTTGATAACTTTGTTGCAATGATTTCACTGCTCGAAAATGCTACCCGTCCATTTAGATAAATTTAAAAAGCGTGAAATCATTTAGGTAATAAAGAAAGGATCATCAATTTGCTTAAATAACAGAAACAAGACGGAACGAATAATTTACATTTCTTAAACAATATCATTTTATAGTGAAGCAAAAATGGTCACAACAAATTGCTTCCGATCTGACAAAGTGTTCCGCCTATTTTGGTTTACATTCACTCTTCGGTTCCCATGTGTAAGAATTAGAACAGAGTAGTGATTTTTACTGCACCTCACTCTCGAAATATGCTACATGTATGTATCTATTTAACAAGCTTATATGACATACACAAAATTACTTCTCGTATCCCACACACAATTAATTTATAACAAAATTCAAACTTCTCTTACACTGATGGCATATTTGTGCTAAATGAAGGAAAAGAATGAAAGAAATTGTTTTACGACACCATAATAAGGTGCAGGTGTGATATAGAGAGTATCAGGTCGAGAAATGTCAGATATTACTGAACATCGACAGTGGAGCGATTGCAGCAGATCTTGTCGGGCGTAACCAACATTTTCTTGCTAACAAACATATTGGAAAAGGATCATTCTACATGCTCATGGTCCTGGTCAGTTCTCCCTCCTGTGAAACTGATTTGTGGTCTCTGTTTAGAATGGGGAGAAAAAAGAAGTGCAGCATACTTAATGACTGGCAGATAGCACTGTGGCTAATTTTTAATAGATTAAATGCAAAATTTCGCGTCTTTTTGCTAACAGTTTGTGCTTGTGAATATTTGGCAGATTTGTCATTTTTAGGATGAATACTCCCGTCGACCAATTGGATATTTTTGATGTGTGCGACTCGGTGTGATGCTTCGTGCATTACAGGTATTCTGTCTTTCTTTTTTCTCTTTTTTGTTGAGAAATGAGGATTGTAGGAAGGGACTGAAGTTTAAGATATGATTATTCAAATGCGGCTTTTTCAGAATCATTTACTGTTTAAAACTCGTTTGGAGGGGGTGGAGGAGAAGTTGAAAGGGTCGAAGGGCGAAATGCCGGAGATGAAATGGACGAGGAGCCGGTATCTCAGGAGCCCCAATTCAACGAAGAAGAAGTCTCTCGGCCTGAAAATAATGATGAGGCCGAGGATTGGTCAACCGAAGCAGAGTGGGCTCTATTGCCACAGGACGCGGAAAATGGGTTTGAGATACCGATGATATCAATGGAGACGAGTTGCAGTGAGGAACCGGAAGAATCTGTTCGTGAACTTCTCTTGTAAGTTTTAATTTTTGCCACAAATGTAAAACAAAGTAATAATTAGAACAACTATTAATTTCATTTGTTATTTGTTAGATGAAGTGGTCAAATAGTTTGTACTAAATTCAAGTATGTTTTAGAATACCGAGGACGATGACGATTGCGGTTCTTGCTGCTCAGAAAACATTGATCACAGCAATATCGAGAAAATTCCATCCGGCAGATTTCAGGGATCCTGCAGGGAATTCCGGAAGGAGTTGCAAATGCCGCGGGCAAAGCCATACACGGTGATCCGAAGAATAGGAAATAGTAGCATCGGCTTAATAATCTTTCTGATAAAATTAAAGGATTTCTTCCTTTATGAGAGTCATATCGGTGAACAAACTGATTTAACAAACAGTTTGTGCAATAATATTTTCTAGTAATTTCTTTTTTCAGTGTATGGCATATGCAGCGGGCAGTTCGCAACACTAAAAGGGTGGCGCATTCACGCCTCGAGAATGCACGAGCAGGATGGTAAGTATTTTGTACGAAATTTCTAGCTATAATCGGAAATCATTTAATTCTTCTTTAATTATGTCTATTGCAGGTTTTTGTGCCCGTTGTAGGCATGACCTCGTGCTACCACCTCAATACACGGCTGTACAGGAAATTACAGCGTTGGAGCTGCACAACCTCGATTGGTGCCCGAGGAAAAAATGAAAAAGGAAAAAAGGGATTACTTTTTGAAGTTCATTATATAATTTACCCAAATTACATTGTTAATAGTTTAACGTTTTCAGCACTTTTTTAGGTGTTATTAATGCATTTTGATTTTTTTGAAATAACTTTTAATGAGAAAATAACTGAATTCAAATGTTATGAAAGAGAAGTTGAGAAATTTTTGGTCATTTTATATTTGTAATGCTATCTTTGAAGTCAAATGATTTAAGGAGCGAATTTTTTCGAGCGTACTTAAAATTAATAACCGAATAACTTTGAATTCAGTCTTTCATTTTCTTGTTTCTGTACTTTTTTTTGAAATTTATTATGTAATATAGTTCATAATTTTTTTTTTATCCCCTCTTTCTGTAATGTGATTTTTTAACAATTAGCAACCTCGTTTAATAAAAATTATCGTTTAGTCTTCCTTTTGCACTTTTGCAAGTATTTGTTAAGCAGTAGAAATTGTTGTTCCAGTCGCTCTCGAATTAGTAGTGAATATTAAGGTAAAATTCGCATTCTTGATTCGAGAACAACAATTTATAAAAAACGGATGATCTCGTTTACTCGCTCAAAGTTAAAGCGTCGAGGATAAAATATAGAAATTACGGAAATGGGTGTAATTTTGGTTTGTAAGTTTATTCGAAAGTTTGCATGCATGGCTACTTCTCGTTTCAGGTAAATAGCTCTCTACTTTTTCCAGTTAGAAATCCGTAACGCTGAAATGATCGGAGAATTGCGGCGCAGAATATATAACTGTTTCGCGGTTGCCCTTTTCACATTTCTCAATGAGAGAGAGAGAGAGGTATTCGAGAAGCAAACAGCGTTGAAATTTATCTTTTTGCCATCTTTCGCTTGCAACCATATATTTATTCGTAATATTTTCACGATTTCCATCACTTTCGATGGCAGCTCCTGATTGATATCTTTTTATTATTTTCTTCAAAGTCTGGTACTTCGAGATAACTTTTCAAGGTCATTCACTGAGTAACTCTTTTGTTTATCTTATGAATTAAGCCCAAGTTCACGCACTGTTTGAAAAGATGCGTGCCAAAAAGTTGAAGACATATGAGGTCCTCAGCAAAATTGAGCAGCTGAAAGAAATAAAGGATCAGTAAGGGATCCATTTTCCTTATTTGAAATTGCTATGCAATTGCAAAATTTTTGTATATCCTGAGAAGATAATAAAACATCTTTATAAAATTTGTCCCTTGCAAACCTAGCAAGTTACTCAATCAGTCTTTTCAAGTAAAATCGAATCCATTGCAATGTTTAGTGTCATATGGATATAAAATTTCGACTTCAATATTGTAAAATCTATGCAAATTTGACTTTAGCAACTCATTTTGTACACCCAACAATTGTTTACAATTTTTAAACTGAG